AGGGGGCGGGCAGGACCCAGGCGGAGGGCCCGGGGCTGTGGGAGAGTGACAGGTGGGGAGGGAGAGGAGGCAGGAGCCCTTCCGTCAGGTGCTGCCTGTGAGCATATTGCAGCGAACACGCTGAGATACACTCTTTTTTTTAAATATATTTTATTGATTTTTTACAGAGAGGAAGGGAGAGAGATAGAGAGTTAGAAACATCGATGAGAGAGAAACATCGACCAGCTGCCTCCTGCACATCTCCTACTGGGGATGTGCCCACAACCCAGGTACATGCCCTTGACCGGAATCGAACCTGGGACCTTTCAGTCCACAGGCCGACGCTCTATCCACTGAGCCAAACCGGTTTCGGCAGAGATACACTCTTTAAAGAGCATTTAAAATAAAAAAGACTGCCCTGGCCAGTGGTGCTCAGTGGATAGAGTGTCAGCTTGCGGACCCAAGGGTCCTGGGTTCAATTCCAGTCAAGGGCACATACCTCAGTTGCAGCTCCTCCCTGTTCCAGGCTCTGGTGGGGCATGTGCAGGAGGCAACCAATTGATGTGTTTCTCTCACATCGATGTTTCTATCTTTCCCTCTCTCTTCCACTCTCTCTAAAAATCATTGGAAAAATATCCTCGGGTGAGGATTTAAAAAAAATACCGATGCCCCCACCATCCCAGCATGCTGTTTTTGTCACATCTTCTAGACCCTGTCCCTCTGTGAAAAGACATTCTTATATTATTATATTCATAGTGTTTCTTGTCCTTTTCCTTTCAACATTGTCCTAAACATGTTTTTGTGTTTCAACATAGCCTGTGTAGTTATCACTTACAACAGGAGATGTTATTCCATGAAAGCGTATTGACTTTGAGGTCCACGTTGTGTTCTGAGTTTGATTTCTGAGTCTGTGTGTGTGAGTCTTGCCGTGTGTGTGTGTGTGTGTGTGTGTGTGTGTGTGTGTGTCTTGCAGTGTGTGTGTGTCCTGTAGTGTATGTGCATAGGCTTGAAATTTACGCTGCGAGAGAAAGTGTTTGTTAAGATGACCCTTGGGAGCAAGGTGACAGCCTGGGTGGGGCGTAGAGGAGCCCCGATGCAGGGGAGGCCCTCGGTGAGGACGGCTGGGGTGCAGACTCGTGGGATGGCCGTGTTTATAAGCCTCGTGCCGCGTAAGGTCAGCTGACAACCACGGGCTTTTCTGCTCAGTTGAATTCAGATGACTGGCTATAGTGTTTTATGATACCCTGTCATTTGAAAGATCTTTGTAAATCAGCTTGCATGCTTCTAACTCCTATGTTTAGAACGTAGACTAGGTTGCCAGCCAACCTGGAGACATGGAGAAGTGTGAGGCTGGGTGGGAGGCTGGGTTGGGCTTCCAGCGGGGGGCACGGACCCTGGCGTCCTCGTGCTGGGTTAGATGTCTCTGCAGATGACTTACTTTTCATTTTCTACGTGTCCTTTGAGTAGGTTGCAGAATTGTTAGACTGTTTGGCAAACGCAAGGTGTCCATTTTTGAGGATTGAATGACAGATTTTATTACTCTACCAATCTATGTGAACTTCATTGTTAGTGATGTGTTTATATGAGAATGCACACAAGTCACATGGACACACACACACACACGTACACACTCCTAGCACAACTGAGCAGAGAGCCTGGGATTCAAGTTAGGAGAATTTTGGTCTTGACCTCATGCATAAATTTACCTTTTCTCTCTGGAGTTTAATTCCCTGCTTCTGAAAATGTGGATACAGTACCCAACTCAAGGTTGTCACAAAGCAGGTGCTCATAATTGCAAGGTGAATCTAGCAGGCTCACTTAAATGTAACATTCACTGGGATTTTTTTTAAAAAAGTTTTTTTATTGATTTTAGAGAGAGAGGAAGGGAGAGGGAAAGAGAGATAGAAACATCAATGAGAGAGAAACAGTGATCCGCTGCCACCTGCACGACCCCCACCAGGCATGGAGCCCGCAACCAGTGCATGTGCCCTGGCTGGGAATCGAACCTGCGACCTCTTGGTGCATGGGTCGGCGCTCAACCACTGAGCCGCGCCAGCTGGGCTTGCTGGTCTGTCTGTGTCACTTTGATAGTAAGCAGGGAAGTTTACACAGGAGCCTCCATAAAAAACTACGGGCCGGTACTTACAGATCAGCTTCCGGTTCTTCTGCAGTGGCTCAGCGTGTTAACACGGAGGGCGGGGCCCACCCCAGGGGCTCTGGGTGGTCTGGATGGGGCCTGAGGATTTGCATTTCTGATGCTGGTTCAGGGGCCACATTTGAGAGCCACTGTTTTAAAGCTCCTTGTCGGCCTCAACAGCCTTTTAAAACTAATTTTTAAAAATGGAAAATAATGCATTTAAAAATAATGGTAGTAAGAGCAATAAGAACACATTATTTCTTGAGGAATCTACAGGTGGATAGCTCTGCCCCCTGGAGAGGCACTGGTGGTGACGTCCCTTGGAAAGGTCCTCAATCTGACCCTCGGAGGGGGATTCCGTTCACTCTCCGCAGCTCTGGGGCGGCGGTGCGCTGAGCCGCTGCACCTGCATCCGTGGAACTGGCGAGCGTGGGATCCCTTCTCTTTGGTTTTGAAAACGCTGCCATTTCTTCAAATCCTGAGTCGGATGCTGAGCTGTGGAGGGCCGGGAGGGCCACGCCTCTCTTCCTGCACCGCCACCCTCGCCAGGGCGGCCTGCAGGGTTTGCTGGAGAGTGAGCCCCTGGGAGCCTAGTTGCTCGGGAAATGCTTGCACCGAGGCTGTCTGGGTCAGACACAGACAGGCTCCATTTTCCGAGCTGCGCAGACTTGGCTCCTGGGGGTTCGCGTTGTAACGGAAGCCGAGGCAGCTTTTCTGGTCCTGCTGTTGGTGGGAATTCTCATGAAGTGGACCCCACAGGTCACCGGCCCGTCCTCCCGCCGGAAGGGGACCCGCCCCGCAGTGCGCTCAGCAGCCCCGGGGGAATGACTTCTCGCATGATCATTATTTTTTCCACGCTGTCTTCCACTAAGTGTTTCTTGGATTGAATGACTTTGTATTCAAGTAATAAAATGCACAACAGGCAGTACATTTCTGGGTGATTATCTCGCTCCTCGGGTGGTGTAATAAGGCAGGAGGCCAAGGCCCTGGCACGCCTGGTTGTTATTAGGCAGTGAATTTATGGGTAAAATAAAGCGGTTATTTGCATGAGCAGTAAGTGCAATAAGGAACGCAGTTACAGCAGGTCCTCCCCGCGAGCGCTCCTGGCCGGCCGTGCAGCGTGGGCAGCCAGACTTCTCGCCGCCTTCGAGGAGCTGCTCATTAATGTTGCAGAAAGAAAGCCTTGGCCACTGCCGACCACGCACCTGGTGCAGGGAGAGCGCTTGTCCGCCTGGCTCTGGGCGTAGCAGGCGTGCAGTCCTGGGCGAATGGCGTGCTGCGCCAAGCATCAGCTTCCTTACCTGTGAGATGGGAGGCGTGAAAAGGGACTGGGCGTGGGGAGGGTTAAATGACAGCTTTTCACAAACCTTAAGCACCTTTCCTGGCTCAAAGTAAGTCCCCAGTAAATGCTAATGGAATTCGAATAACTTTTTTTCCTCCTTCAAATTCTTCCGAAGCTTGAGTTTCTTGTCTCTTAACCTCTTTAGTCTTGGCCAGAGGTCTCAGTGACTCCCATTATTCCCAGCATTCCTGGTGTTCCTTCCTGAGCAGCACCTGCCCACGCTGTCACCTCCCTTGCACACGCCCGCCTTGCTGCTCACACTTGCCTTTCAGAACCCTGTCCCAGATTAAACCCGACTCTCCACCACTGGTCCTGGCTGAGGTTCATGTCCACGGACCTCAGGTGGGCTCTTCAAACTCCCACACTCCACTCTCCTGCTTGCCTGCTCCTCCATACAACCATTTCGTCCTCTATCCTCTTTCCTTAACCCCTAGAGCGCTCCTCCTGTCTTTCGCCAAAAGTGCCTGGAGCGCTATCGCGCTCCTTCTGCAGTGTCACTATTAGATGCTAGTAGTTCACTTTTTATGTGGGAAAAAAAATTTAAAAACCTTAACTCAAAATGCCTTGGCAATTTTAGCATAGTTCCTAGGATATTGGTTGGCACTCAAAGGGTTAATCCTGAGCCACCGCTCCCATCCTTTCTGCTGCTGACCCAGCTTCCTACTTCAAATGGAATTGTATTCTTAACTTTATTTTCAGATTGTTTATTGCAGGTATATAGAAAAGCAATAGATTTTTGTATATTGATCTTATATCCCAGGGGTCCTCAAACTACGGCCCGCGGGCCACATACAAATACAAATATTGTATTTGTTCCCGTTTTGTTTTTTTACTTCAAAATAAGATATGTGCAGTGTGCATAGGAATTTGTTCATAGTTTTTTTTTAAACTATAGTCCGGCCCTCCAACGGTCTGAGGGACAGTGTACTGGCCCCCTGTTTAAAAAGTTTGAGGACCCCTGTTATATCCTATAACCTTACTGAAGTTGTTTATTCTAATAGTATTTTTTTGGCGTGTGTGTCTTCTGTAGGGTTTTCTATTTTACAAAATTATGTCATTAGCAAATAGAGATAGTTTTTATTAGTCTCCAACCTGGTACCTTTGTATTTCATTTTCTTGCCTAATTGCTCTGGCTAGAACCTTTAGCACAATCTATATATATAAAAGGCTAAGCCACTGTCCGACTGACCGGTAGGTATGATGCGCACTGACCACCAGGGAGCTGACACTCAACGCAGGAGCTGCCGAGCTGCAGTGACTTGGCAGCAGCAGTTCTCGGGTGATGCACCCCGGAACCAGAGAGGAGGGAGCTGCACGTTCGGCCCTGGGTTATGTTATTGCTGGGGCACTGTCGGCCCCAAATCTGGTTTACTGCACACTTGCGTTTGCATCCCATACCCTGTACGACAGCAACTTCCAGAGTGCCCTCTTGCACTCCAGGACCCCTCAGGGGATGTCAGAGAGCCAATTTCAGCTCGATCCCTGCAGGCCAGGCTGAGGGACCCCACCTGCTGGAGGGACCCCGCTCACTCCGCAGACGCCATGTTCGAGCTGCAGCACCACCCCAGGTGCGGCCAGCCGGGGAGAGTCGGCAAGAGTGGCTCGAGGGTGTGTCTGGCCTGTCTCACCGAGTCCTGCTCTGTCAGCCACCTTCTAATTAATTTCCTTTCAATGTGCACAAATCCGTGCACTGGGCCACTAGTGTTGAATAAAAGTGGTGAGAGCAGACATCCTCATCTTGTTTCTGATCTTAGGGTAAAAAAAAATATATATATTTTTACCATTAAGTATGATGTTAGCTGGTTGTTGTTTTTTTTATTAATGCCTTTTGTCAGGTCAAAGAAGTTCCCTTTTGTTCCTAGTTTGTTCCTAGCGTTTTTATCGTGAAAGGATGTAGGATTTTGTGAAATGCCTTTTCTGCACCCATTGAGATGATTTCCCCCCTTGATTCTATTAATGTTGCATTGATTAATTTTTATAACAAATGGAGCAAACATCCTTGCATTCCTGGAATGCAAACCATCCTTGCATTCCTTTGATAAATCCCACTTAGTCATGCTGTTTCATTCTTTTTGTATATTGCTGGATTATTTTGTTAGTATGTTGAAGATTTTTCCTATATTCCTAAGGAAAATTGGTCCTTAGCTTTTTTTTTTCTTTTGATGTCTTTGGTTTGGTATCAGGGTAATACTGACCTCATACAGGGTGTTGGGAAGTGTTCCCTCCTCTTTCGTTTTTTGGAAGAGTTTGTAAAGGATTGTTTTTAATTCTTTAAGTGTTTGATAGAATTTATCAGTGAACCTATCTGGTCCTAGGATTTTCACAGTAAGTTTTTTGATTACTAATTCAGTCTCTTTGCCTGTTATAGAGCTATTCAGATATTTTATTTCTTTAGTCAGTTTCAGTGGTTTGTGTCTTTCTAAGAATTTTTCCATTTCATGGACCTTATCTCATTTGTTAGCATACAACTTACATTTCCTTATAATCCTTTTTGTTTTTGGAAGGTCAGTAGTAATGCCCTCTCTTTCATTCATGATTTAAGTAATTTGAGTTTTGCCAATCTTTTCAAAGAACCAGCTTTTCATTTTCTATTCTCAATTTTATTTATTTCTGCTCTAATCTTTATTAGTCCCTTCAATCTACTTGGGTTTAATTTAATCTTATTTTTCTAGCTTTTAAAGGAAGATGTTTAGGTCATCAATTGAGATTTTCTTTTCTTTAATATAGACATTAATATCTATAAATTTACCCCTAAGCACTGCTTTATCTGCATCCCATAAATATTGGTATGTTGTGCCTTCATTATCATTCGTGTAAAAGTATTTGTTAATTTATCTTGTGATTATTTTTTCACCCATTGATTAATTAGGAGTGTATTATTTGATTTCTATATATTTATTAATTAATTTCTTTCTGTTATTGATTTCTGTTTTCATTTCAGTGTAGTTGGAGAACATCTATTGATTATTTCAATCCTTTTAAGTTTATTAAGCCTTGTTTTATGTCCTATCCTGGAGGGTGCCTCGTGTGTGCTTGAGAAGAAGGCGCGTTCTGCTGTTGTTAGGTGGACTGTTCTTTCGATGTCTCTTCGTCTAATTGGTTTATGCGTTGTTAAAGTCTTCTGTTTCCTTGTTGCTCTTCTCTCCAGTTGGCCTATCCATCATCAAAAGTGGGTACTGAAGTCTCCACTATTAGTGTTAAAGTGTATACTTATCCTTTCACTGTTACCAGTTTTTACTTCAAGTATAGTGCGGCTCTGTTATTAGGTGCATAGATGTTTATTTTACTTCATTTATTCTTTCTCTAATATTCTTCCTTTCTTTCTGTAGATCTGAGTTTCTGACCCTTTGGACTTTTCCTTCTTTTTGAAGACTTTATTTTAACAAGATTTCTTGCAAGTAGGTCTGCTGGTGACAAATTCCCTCAATTTTTGTTTGTATGATAAAGTCTTTATTTCAAATGCCTGGACACAGTAGTCTTCCGATCTTTGCAAGGGGCTCTCGTGTGTGCGTGCTGGGGCCTGCCTTCAGCCTGAGCCAGGCAGTTCACAGTTCTGCCTGAGCCTCACTTCCTGCTTGTGACCTTGGCTAGAGCCTCAAGGTCAGCCAGAGGTGAGAGTTTAGGGCAGCCGGGCAAACTACGGCCCGCGGGCCAGATCCAGCCCGTTTGAAATGAATAAAACTAAAAAAAAAAAAAAAAAAAAGACCGTACCCTTTTATGTAATGATGTTTACTTTGAATTTATATTAGTTCACACAAACACTCCATCCATGCTTTTGTTCCTGCCCTCCGGTCCAGTTTAAGAACCCATTGTGGCCCTCGAGTCAAAAAGTTTGCCCACCCCTGGTTTAGGGCCTTCCCCGGTCTTCCCTGAGTAAACACGTTGCCCTGGACCGGCTCACAACCCCTACACGAGAGAGTGCCATTAGATCCCAGGAATATGGGGATGCTTTTCAGAGCTCCTACGCCATCCCATTCCCTAGCTCTTTCCTTTAAGCCAGTGGTTCTCAACCTTGGCTGCACATTAGAATCACCTGGAAATCTTTTTAAAATCCTGATTTCTGGCCTCA